GGTTCCACACACAGTAGCCTGCCTGCTTTGTCCAACATACAAATGGCCAGTACCATAATGACTTCAGAACAGAGAGGGACATATTCATTTTAGCCTGCCCAGGACCTGTCACAATGCTGAATAGTGTGTATTAATAGATTTTACAAATGGAATCAAACTCATTCTGGTAGCTTAATTCAAATGAACTGAAGAATTGTATGTGTTAGAAAAAATGTATAATACATCCTCAAACTAATCAAATGATTTGAAGAGAAGAGCCCTGGTGTTGAGAGTGGATTTTGCATTGGGCTACAAACTGCAAGATCAGTAGTTGGAAACCACTAGCCATTACACTGGAGAAAGATGAGGCTTTCTACTCCTGGAAAGACCTAGGATCTTGGCAAGCCATAGGGATAGTTCTTCCATGCCCCATGTTGCTGTGGGTTGGAATCTATTAGGTGGCAGAGAATGTGTATGCACGAGCAGGTAATTTATTCTCCCGGAGCCCTATTCCATTAGATAATATAAATGCATATTTGCTTGTTTAGAACTAATATATTTTATGAGTTACAGATTCAATCATTTCCCAGACAAAGTGCAAATTGATTGCTAACTGAAATGTAGGAGCCAGAGGCATCTTAGTTTGAAAGGCTTATCAATCAATTTCCAAAGTTTTGCCAATTTGCTCCCAAAAAATCCTTTGATAAAACCCTATAACCACAATTCTATTCTAACACACATGGGATCATTGTAAGTCAGAATTGATTCAATGACAACTGGAATGATATTCTAAGGCATGGGTCACAAATTTCAAAGGTGATGGAGTGAAGCAAAATTCCTTAGGACTCTCCTATCCATTTCTCTATAACTTCCATCAAATGATTAGGTAAGATCATGCAAATAAAGTGTGGAAGTCTCTAACTAGGGATTGGTTAATTTTCCCATTCCACTGGGTATAAAAGAGTCAACTAAGAAGCAGAAAGAGAGAATTCTGGGACCATGGAGAAAGAAGAGCCACCTTTAGAGTGGGTATAAAATTCCTGTCTGAAATGGTAGAAGCAGCAGCAGCAGCACCAGAGGGACCAGAAGAGAAGAGCTGCATTGCTTAGGCCATGCAGCAGTGAGGCAGAGTCCCAAGGGAGCTTCCTGATCCACAGAGGCAGAGGCCGGTAGAGAGTGTGACAAAGAGCTAGACTTAGCCACTGTCTTCGAAGAGGTACTACGGTGGCGAAGTGACAGTACCCTTAATGTTTTATGATCCTCACCTCCGGTAACCTGTTAACTTCTTAATCCAAACCAAACCAAACTCATTGACACTGAGATGATTCCAACTCAAGACAGCCCTGTAGGATTGAACAGAACTGCCCCAGTGGGCTTTGAAGATCATAGAAAGCCTCATATTTCTTCCTCTGTGTGGCTGGTAGTTTCAATCTGCTGACCAACACATATATCGCTATATCACCAAGCTTCCTTAACTTCCCTGATATCCACAATTATTGTGATCATGGTCTGTGAGTTCTGTGTAACCATTGCAAAAAAATTTATAGGACTAAGAAAGAGAAGTAGAATGCCATGGAAGAGACTGTGGTATCAGAAAAGAGTTAAAAGCAATAGAAGATGGAGGCGTCTCTGACCTTGGCCTTGTGGCAATCAGCCTTGGGTTGGTGTGAAATTGGGTTCTCCCTCTGTGTCACCAGAGGGGGTCAGAGATGGCCCCTAGACTGTTACTTCAATGGTAGAAGCCAAAAAATGGAGTTAATACACGAAGGAAGTTGATTGCAATAAACATAATCCTCTAATTTTTGCAAAATTATATTTGCAAATGCAAAATAATATTTCTACAAGAAAAGTTGATGTAAAAAAAAAACCATTACAAGAAGCAACGGACCTCACACCTCAATCAAGGAGAGAATTATAAAGAATTGTTAGGAAAGGGATAAACTTTCATTTGATTTCTCTTTTTAAAAAATAAATCATTTTATTGGGGGCTCTTACAGCTCTTATAACATTCCATATATCACACACATTTGTACATATGTAGCCATCATCATTTTCAAAACGTTTTCTTTCTACTTGTGCCCTTAGTATCAGCTCTTCTTTTTCCCCTCCTTTCCCCACCCTACCACTTCGTGAACCCTTGATAAATAATAAATTATTATTATTTTCATACCTTACCCTGGTGGGGGGGCATTAATATGTTGATCATTGCAATTTGTTCCCTGATTCACCCCCTTCTCCCCCAAAATCTCCCTACCCTCATGGTATTGCTACTCCCATTACTGTTCCTGAGGGGTTTATCTGTCCTGGAGTCCATGTGTTCAGAGCTCTTATCTGTACTGGTGTCTATGCTCCAGTCTAGTTTGATGAGTAAGGTAGAACTGGGGTCATGACAGTGAGAGGCGGGGGAGGAAGCATTGAAAAACTAGAGGAATGCTGTGTGTTGTGTCTGTGTTATACTGCACGCTGACTGGCTTATCCCATCCTTCCTGTAGCTTCAACAAAACTTCAGCTGAGCCATTGAAACAAGACAACTTTTCAAGAAAACCTGGCAATATTGATTTTTATTTCAAACATTCTAAATATTGAAAAAATGTATTGTTTTATTAAATGTAAGATTTTTATAAAACAAAACACATCTACAGGCCATATCTGGCACACAAGATCCTAGCTTCCAACCTCTGTTAAAATAACTGAATTATTCTATTGCAGCTGTTCTCTACCTGTGGTCGCGACCCCTTTGGGGTTGAATGACCCTTTCACAGGGGTCACCCAATTCATAGCAGTAGCAAAATTACAGTTATGAGGTAGCAACGAAAATAATTTTAATGTTGGGGGGGTCACCACATAAGGACTGTATAAAAGGACTGCGGCATTAGGAAGATTGAGAACCACTGCTATTGTAATCAAATATAACTCAATTGTTGTAGATATAATTGAGGTATTCCTAAAAAGTCATATAAGAGAGTCACTAAAATGTTAAGGAGAATTTACAGATTAAAGAAACCAGTCAGGGTTATGATATAATTAGACTATACCTATACTTTTATAAATGACAGAGTCTCATGAATTCCATTTCTTATCAAAATGAACATATCAAATCCCAACCAAAACCGAACCAAACTCACTGCCATCGGGTTGATTCTGACTCCTAGCAACCCTATAACACAGGGTAGATCCTCGCACATGGGTTTCTGAGACTGTAACACTTTATGCTATAGTAGATAGCCTCGTATTTCTCCTTCGGACCAACTAGTGGTTTCAAACTGCTGCAATTGAGGTTAGCAGCTCAAGGCACAACCAGTAGGCCACTGAGGATCCAGAGCTGGCCAATAGACTAATGAGAAATATACCCTTTATAAGCTTTACTTTACATTTGTCATCAGTGAGTTTCGGTCACAAGTTCAAGTTGGTTCTCAATTTATGCATATCCATGATTGTATTTCTAAATGATGACTAACTAGCCAATTACAGTGACTATAAAATTCTATCATAAATGGCATTTTAAATTATGCATTTCACTAAGAAAACTAAAATTTCAACCTCATTTTAATCACTTTGCTATTCAGAATTCTGTTAATCAAGCAGAAAAAAAAATATCTGTGTTCAACACCTAGAATGATTTATCTGTTTGTGTGAATGTGAGAAAAATGATCACATCTTCAAGTAATAGATTACACGTACAAAGGAAGTTCACATTGCAGCTATGCTGATGAAAATTACCTGCAGGCTGTTCTAACACAGCCAGTGAATTAATTAACCTTTGGACATAAAATCTAAAGACTTTCAGCAAGGACTGAGGTTTCTGGGTTTCTCTTGCTCTGGTTTCCTCGGCATTTTGGAAAATGAAATGATAGGTTGGTCCTGGGGTGAACAAATGAAATATACTTAAGTTTTATCAGCTCTCCTCGTTACTATAATAAACTCACATGAATGGGGGCTAAAATAAGCTCGACATTGCACATTTTTTCCAGTTAATGAGCACTGAGAAACAATGATTGATTTCTATGTAGACCTTTCCTTTGATGAGTAAGATCAGTAATTTCTTACTACAAATGTTGACCGTTAATTATTCACCCATTGACTGTGTGAGGACACAAAATTAAACAAAGCATGCATTTTGCAAAAGAATGAAAACAAAAACGAAAAAATAACAATGAGTAAAAACTTGCTTTATTTTAAACTTTGGTTTTAAGGGATTAATAACTTTATCAATACTTAGGGATATTGACAAAACAGTATGATAGTTTTTCATTTGGGGTCGGAAGCTTAAAAATCAATTAACATTAAGTGAAACTATAATGTGGAAAAATAGGGTTTCTAAAACACAATGGGACCCCCTGCTTTGCCTCTGGTTATTAAAGATAAGGCTCAAGAAAGTTTAGTAAATTCAAAGATTATAGTAAGATTTTAGTGTTACTGGATTAATTATACTGTAAATACTGAAGTAATGACTTAATATATCTTAATGTCACTTTTAGGAGCCACATATATTTTTCTCATTCATGTAGTAATATCTCCATAAGTGGGCTACTGGACCTCAACACTCATAGCAAATAGCTAGAACTCTCCTCTTCCTTGAGCCAATTGTTGAATTTAGTTTTTAAAAATCCATTTTGAAAATCAATAGTCTTACAATGGATAAATCATCTCTTCAATAGGTTATGAGACAGTCTTGCTGAATCAGATAATGACTAAGAGTACATTAAAATGTTTGGGCAATCTTCTATTGCTCTAACTAAATACTGATTTATTGAATCTATTTATCACCTACAAATGATGTTACAGATATGTATTTGTAATAAAGGAATACATTTAAGTGTACCACATGAAATACTAAGAAACTGAATGTTTTCAGGACTAATTTGATTTTAAATATTTCCCGGGACTATATACAATGTATATATACATGTGAAGAATAAATACATGACTTCAAAAAAACCTTAAAGCAAGAAGACAAATTTATAATACCCACTTAATTATTCCAGGAATATGCATGCTTTTAGCAGATATAATTTACATACCTGACAGGCAATGTTCTGTCTCCTTTCCTTCTATCCATTTCTCTTTGGGGAACAGGATACCAGCGGAAATTCAGTTTCCAGTTAAAACCCCCATAAGTCATGTCTGACCCAGCCATATATTCAAAGGTATCATCACTAATCACATCGATAATAGGGCACACAACTGTTTTCCTACAGGAAAAATGAAAACCAACTTAGCTCTTTCAAAATATAATTGATCTACTAAAAATTAATTATTTTGTGATTTTAATAACTTTATTTTCATTTTTGTCATTTTCTCTATGGAAAACTCTCTTGACTACATCTTCCTTATAATCTACTTTATAGAATCACCTGGAATCTAATCAAATATACTAATTGACTTTCAAGCTGATTTCCAAGTGTGTTCTAAGTCATAACTCAGCAGGATGAGCATGGTCTATTTTTCATAAACCCTCCATCCACAGCATGATTAGTGGAGCTGTTTTGAGCGTATGCATCATTGTAGCTATAACCCACTGGTAATCAATATCATGCATACAGGGGAGAATAGATGATAGCAAATTAGATCCGGTTTGCATCTCAAATAAGGTAGGATAGCTTATAGAGATAATTCTGAGAGAAACATCCTGAAGGAAAAAACAAAGAACCAACAACAATAGAAAATAATGATCTACTACTGGATCTAAAAGTAAATGTTAGCTGGGAAGAATGTAAATTATACATCAAAAAGAAGAAAACATATCCTCACAATAGAACAATCAGCAATACCAGGACAGATGCATAAATATTTAAGTTGTCATAGAATTTATTTTAGTGGAATCCACAATCAATACCCATGGAAACAGCAAAGGACAATCCAATTATTAGACAAAAGACATTGTAGGCAGTGGATTATTCAATGTGGTTTTTCTGGCCATCATCTCTGTAGCTCCCATCAACCTTTTCCTGATGGGCCAGGAAAAGAAGAAGTAGAGGAAGTGATAGGATTCAGCTGTGCATCGTTATAAACAGGATTCATTGTTTCTGCCGGCCTGCAGAGTATAAAACGAGCCATCTCAGAAGCAGGAGGGGGGAAGTATACTATCAGAAAGAACCTGCGAATGGCACACATCCTCCTTTCCCCCAAGATTTCTATGCAGCAAACCTCCCCGATCAGGAAGACAGCTTTGACATCAGAAGAGTGACAAAGATGCAGCAAGAGAACAGGAGCCAGACCATGAAACACCGCAGTGAACTTCCTACCCAAGAAGCCAATTGGCTAAGTGCTTCTGGGCAGGAGTTCAGTTGTGGCACTTAATTTCAGGAAGCTGACCGAAGGGTCTGACATTGAGTCCCTTTGAATGGAGGCTTACAGCAGTATATCATGCCTTTTGAGAATTTATTAGCAGCCCTGAAAGAATTCTATAATTTGTCCTGACTGAACAAGTGAATTCAGAGCATTTCTACCTGTTAACTCCCTTAATAAACCCCTTAATCTTGAATATTATCTGTGACTCCTGAGTGGCTACTGCAATGGATTATAGATAGTTATGTAAGTTGAACCAGTGTGGGAGGACATGGACATAAAGAGAATGATCTACGTCTTAATTTTGATGAGTAGAGGCTAGGGCCTTAAAAGTTATGAGTACCTTGTGAGTCACAACAGTCACAACTCTATGTCTCCTTCTGTCCAGAGCAAAGGAGTAAGGAGAAAACCAAAGCTTCAAGGTGGGGTGGGAGATGGGGAAGAAACTGTTCAAATGTCTAATAGAGCACAGGGACCACAGCCTCTCCCAAGCTGAGACCAGAAGAACTAGATAGTGTCGGGCTCCAATTACCTTCTGATCTGACCAGTATCTTCTTAGAAGTTCCGGGATAGAGTCAGGGCCCACGGTGGAACACAATTCAATTTATAAACTCATAAAAATACCAGCTAGACGTATTAGTCTCATAGAAAATGTTGAAACCCCAAGACAATGGCTCTTAAACTTCTCCCTTAGAACTGAAACCTCTCTTGGAAGTCATGTTTTATTCTATAAAGGCAGGCTCCGAAAAAAATCAACGACATGACCAAAAGAGCAGCATTTTCTCAAAGGAGGCGGAAGGCAGGGGTCGGGGTGGGGTGGAGAGGATTGGGGGGCAGGAGGAGACTGGAAAAATGGAAATGGACAGACCAAGGTGGAATCAGGGAGTGTGCTAACAGGGATTGCAACTGGTATGCAAATGAATTGCTGGCTGGAAAACTAACTTGCTTTGTAAGTGTTTACTTATGCCGTAATACATTATTAAAAAAAAAAACAGCCAAAAAATTGAGTCAAGAACACCTCGTATTCCAGTTCCTGGCAAATTATGTCTTATATATAGTAGGAAAAGGAAATAGATGATTCCATAGAAGACATAGTTTTTAGTTTATCAGTATGAACCCTCTCCAACTGTCACATCTGAAATTCCACCAATAAATAGCCTTTCTTGGATTATAAAGAAAAGGGGAGAGAGAGAATGAAGACAGTTTTTCTCAGACACATACAGAATTGTCATGAGTCAGAATCAACTTGATGGTAACTGGTTGGGTATGGCAATGCCCCACTAGAATTAATATCCAGAACAACAGTTTAGAGTTAACTTCTATATGTGATTATAATTTAAATGTGTTACTGACTTAGGAATAAATGTACTGTGCATGTCTAAATTAAGACAATATTATATTAAAATCTCCCAACTTGAAAATAAAATGTATGTTTTTAAAAACAGTATAGTATATGAAAATTGGCTAGTAAATGCATGTTAGATGCTCCAAGTTCAGTCTATTTTGCAAGTCTTACTCTCCTGTGGGTATGGTAGAATACAGAGAGTGGAAAAATGTTATTAGCTATGTACTACACTCAGTTGACTAAAAGGTTCCTACCGCCATCTTCCACTGCTATGGTTCGTTTTACTGACAGCTTCCATCCATCCTCCTGGCAAGGTCAAACCCTGCCATTGATGCGATGTGCCTGTGCTAGGTTAGGCTAAGGAGCATAGGTCTTAGATGTGCAATTAAAAACCCGAAGTCTAAAGAGAGCTTTCTATTGTAGGTGAAACGACTATGCAAGGAAAGTGTTATGTAAATCTTGTTAGATCGGTTTTAAAGATGGTTGTCTTCATTAGGTGCCTGCAATTTGTATTCATTTATTTCAGTGTTTAGGGATATCTGAAAAATAAAGCTGATACCTTGTATCATCATAATCAGAAGAAATTTTCATTAAGGGCTCTTAATTTTTGAAGGGTTATTCAATTTTCCAGATTTCTACATACAAGTGGCAATATTTTTAAATGAATACAGTTTGTTATGGTTATAATGATGCTCTGTATATTGTTTTCAAAGCATGGTTTGTTTTCCAATGGGAGGTATATAATTGTTTATATGTGCATCTGCTTTTAAGGTCCTCAAGGTATTTTGAACCAGATTCTGACTAGGAATGTTGATACAGGAAAAAGACCCCTGATCTTGAAATGGGGAAAAGTGAATTGTGATTGGTGTTATCAGAATATTCAGTAACCAGGCAAACGATGTGTTTTACTCTTTTATTCCTTCCTACTAGCTATAGATACGAATATATGCATTACCTACCTCATCAGATGGTTGTAAGAATCAATGTGGTGCCTTGAAAATGTGCTTTATCATATACAATATTACTTCAATTTGAACTGATCTCTTCCTCCTAGTATATATATTCAACACGTCTTTACTTATTTGACTTATTTGGCAATTTTTTCAATCAAATGCTCCACCACATCCAGCATAAATAAGGCAAGATTTTATTTATTAAAACAGCAAAAGCAATTTTTTTTAAGGCTAGAGACTAATCCTTCTGATTACTGCAACATGGGAGTTTTGGGGGTTAGCAGAGATTGTCTTAAGGTTCAGTCATACAGGGAAACATACAACATCATTTCCTACCTGTCTTCCTTTATTCTGGCCAGCAAGGGCTCCAGCCATCCAAAAGTGCATTCACAATGTGCATCCAGAAAAGTTATGACCTGCCCTTTTGAAGCAGCTGCTCCGCGAAGGCGGGCGCGTATTAACCCGGAGCGCTCTTCCATCCTAATAATTTTTACCGGCACTTCCAAATTTTTCACATACTTCTCTAATGTCAACTTGAGAAAATCTGTAACATACAATTAGAATGTATAAGAAAATTCTGAAACTGGTGTAAGACACCACAGAGCTATTACACCAGTAGAAAGGCAACACACAGAGATCGGGGTCAAATCCTTATTATCCACTTATTTATTTTTCTCATTAGATGAAATAAAGATAGAGAGTTTGTATCAATCACTGTTCCTATCTACATTCTGTGTTACTTGGCTGACAAGTATAAGGATAAAACCAGAAGTTAATATGATACCACACTCTAATTTGCAAACTAGGCCACGATGGAAAACAGTCTCCTGAATTAAAGGTTATTTGCTTTTGTCTTAATGAAAAGAAGTAAAAACAAGGAAATCACATAAATTCTCAGTAACATAATCATGGGTTGAGGAAAAGAAGGCAAAAACTGGAACCTTTTTGAAAGATGTTTTTTGCCGATTTCTCAGAGTAACTTAAAAATTCAACCTCACTGTCATACAGTGACCTTATAGAACTAAATAGAACTGCTCCCTCAGGTCTCTGAGGTAACTGGAGGAGAGGGCTCATCTATTTCCTAAGGAGTGGATTAAACCATCAATGAGGTTGAACCATCAACCTTGAGGTTTGAATCATCAACCTTGCGGTCAGCAATCCATTACTTACTCCAATACACCACTGAGACCCCTTTTCGAATGTCAGGAAGAACCAAATGGAGTCATGAGAGTACATGAAAGAAATCATTACTTCTTGTGTAGCTGACATTGATAAAGTATGCTGATGAAAATGTTATAGGTGCTTGTGGGTAACTTGCACATAAAAATTGTTCATCAGATATATCTTTGATCATCATTATCAGTCTTTCTAATTGTGGCAGTTACATAATCTGGTGTCAATTTGGGACCTGAGAGGATTAAGAGTGAAGGGGTGGAATCTAGCCTGTCAATCAAGATATAACCCATGAGGCCTCTGTGTGGGCATGGCCTTCTCCTGACAATTCTGGGAACTCCTAGTTTTCCTCCTTGGAGATGGGAGACATTCTCTCTCTCTGCTGACTCCCTGCAAGGCATCCTGTAGGAGAAGCCATATGGACCTACCCTGACGCAGCCCTGGAAGCTGGAGAAGCCAGGTGGAGACCGCTCCCAGCACTGAGATGTTTACAATGCCACTGGATCCGAAGACTTTCTACCCACTGGCCTGTGATCGTCCAGCATTTCACGTCATTGCATGTGTTTTGTGAGTCTGAAGAGGACTTTACAGATTGGGATCAGACATATGGGCTAATACGGACTTATGGGCTTGGACTAGACTGGGATGGGATGTTTTCTTGATGCACAATCACCCTTTATGTAAAACTCTCTCTTATACACATATGCATGTTTATGAATGTGTTTCTCTAGTCACCGGGAATACCACACTAATTAAAACTATAGGAGGAAAATGGTTTTACCTCTTTCACTGGCATCATCCACCAAGATAACCTCGGAGAGCAGATAGTGTGGGGAACGGTTGATGACACTGTGCACAGTTCTGAGCAGGGTGCTCCAAGCCTCGTTATGGAACACTATCACTACGCTTGTGTTGGGAAGGTCATCAGGGTAGACCTTTGTCTTGCATCTGAAAAACAGTGAAGAAGAGAGCATGGAATTACTTTATTTTTCATTCTGGCCACCCATCTATACAGTCTGTTCTGACTTATAGTGACCCTATCAGCCAATAGCTCCTTCGGACCATAAATCTATAATGGAGAGAAAACCTCACCTTGTTGTCTGGTGTGTGAAAATTGCTGACCTTCAGCTTGGCAACCCCATGTTGACCCATGGCACCACCAGAGTTTCTTACTCTGATCCCAAGAATCCAAAACACCAATAGTCACATGATTTTAATCTTGAAAGCTCATCAGTAAGAAAGCATTTCATAAATAGCTAAAATTATTTTCTTTTCATACATGCTCTGAGTAATCACTTGGCATTTGGAAAATGAAATGTGCATAATTACTATTTTATCTTTTATTTTAATTCCTATAGGGAACAAAGCAGTATAATTCTCATGAGTTTAAGAATCTAAAATAACAATTTGAGCCTGTAGACACAGGACCACTGACAACAGAGAATAAAGAACTCATTCAGTGGACAGAATTTTATTTTTGTTGAGAAGTTTTTTTCTATAAACCAGTCATAAGAATATAAAAAGACAAATATCCACAGGGGTTTGAAGCATGTAAAATGAATGCTTTTCGTTTGGCTTGTGAATGCTATCCATAGAAAAGTCTCACTGCCATGAGCTAATTTTGACTCGTAGCAACCCTATAGGGCAGGGTAGATCTGGCCCCGTTGGTTTCTAGACTGTAACTATTTTGGGAATTGCAAACCTCATCTTTGTCCTGTGGAGCCTGGAGGTTTCAAACTGCTGTTTCAACTAACAATCCAACGTGTAAGTTTAGGATGCTAGCTGCCTTATTTCAGATTCCCATTTAATACCTGTGTAGATTTCTAAAGCTACTGTACCAAAGTACGACAAACTGGGTGTTTTACAGCAATTGAAATGTATTCTCTCATACTTCCGAAGCCTAAAAATCAAGATATTTCAGGGACACAATTTCAAAAAGTTCTACAAAAATTCTACCTTTCTTGTTTCTGTTTCTGGTGATTGCTGGTCATACCTGAGAGCCCTTGGCTTGAAGTTATAGCACTGAAATGTATGCATCTATCTTTATAGAACTGATTCCCTGTATGCATCCCTGTGCTCAAATTTCCCTCTTCTTATAAGGAAATTAGCCAGTGGATAAGAGACCCTGATGGTGCAATGGTTAAGTGTTAAGCAACTCCCTACAAGGTTAGTGGTGCGAAGCCACCAGCCACTTAGGGGAAGAAATATGACGTGATCGTCTCGTCTCGTATGAAGATGGGCAATTTCGTGGAGGTCACTATGAACCAGAATCTACCGAACAGAAATGGGGAAATCATTGGATTAGAGTCCAACCTGATCAAGTATGACCTCACTTTAATTTAATCACTTCTCTCAATAGCCTATTTTCAAACAAGGTCACATCCACAGTCTGAGTTGACATACATTCTGGGAAGACTTTATATAATCTAATGTAGTATTTTATTTTATTGGGGACTCTTACAGCTCTTATAACAATCCATACGTCAATTTTATTATCAAAATAAGAGCTCAACAAAAGATTAAGCTATTAGTGAGTGCTTCTAAAACTTTCCTATACATAGGAATACCTGGGAATGTAAATTCATATTGAATTCAATAGGACTGCAATAGAACCTAAGATTCCACATCTCTAAAAATCCCCAGTTGATCCAGATGCTTGTGATCCCTGGAGCACAGATAGGTAAGGAGCTATTATAAATAACTGCCATCATTTTAGAAAATAATGGTTTTTTGAGAAGCTTCTAATTTGCTTCAGAATCCAACACCAAAGCACACCCTCAGCCATGTAGTTGATTCTGACTCAGCTACCTGAGAATACAGAGCAAAACTCCCCCATGGGTTACTGAGACAGTACATCTCGTTTCTTTAATCATGTTATTGTGGGCTCGTACAACTCTTATCACAATCCAAACATCCATCCATTGTGTCAAGCACATTTGTACATGTGTTGCCATCATCATTCTCAGAATATTTGCTTTCTGCTTGAACTCTTGGTATCAGGTCCTCATTTCCTCCTCTCTCTCTCGACTCCATACTCCCTCTTGAACCCTTAATAATGTATAAATTATTATTATTTTGTCATATCTTACACTGTCCACCGTGTCCCTTCACCCACTTTTCTGTTGTCCATCCCCCAGGGAGGAGGTTATATGTAGATCCTTGTAATCGGTTCCCCCTTTCCACTCCACCCTCCCGGTATCAACCCTCTCAGCACTGGTCCTGAAGGGATCATCTGTCCTGGATTCCCTGTGTTTCCAGTTCCTATCTGTACCAGTGTACATCCTCTGGTCTAGCCAGATTTGTAAAATATAATTGGGATTATGATAGTGTGGACGGGGGAAGGAAGCATTTAGGAACTAGAGGAAAGCTGTGTGTTTCATCGTTGCTACACTGCACCCCGACTGGCTTGTCTACTTCCATAACCCTTCTGTAAGGGGATGTCCAGTTGCCTACGGATGGGTCTTGGGTCCCCAATCTGCAGTCCCCCTCATTCACAATGATTTGATGTTTTGTTCTTTGATGCCTGATACCCAATCCCTTCGATACCTCATGATCACAAAAGCTGGTGTGCTTCTTTCATATGGGCTTTGTTGCTTCTGAGCTAGATGGACACCTGTCTATCCTCAAGCCTCCAAGACTCCAGAGACTACAGCCTTTGATAGCCGGGCACCATCAGCATTCCTCACCACACCTGCCCATGCACCCATTTGTCTTCAGCATATGATCACACAGGCTGGTGTGCTTCCTCCATGTGGGCTTTGTTGCTTCTCAACTAGATGGCTGCTTGTTTGCCTTCAAGCCTTTAAGACCCTAAATGCTATATCTTTTGCTAGCCAGGCTCCATCCGCTTATGCACCCGTTTGTCTTCAGCGATCTTGTCAGGGAGGTGAGCACCATGGAATGCCAGTTTAAGAGAACAAAGTGTTCTTGTATTGAGGGAGTATTTGAGTGGAGGGCCAATGCCTAACTGCTACCTTAATACTAAACCTATAAATACATGCACATGAATCTATTTCCCTATCCTCATATATAAATATATTTACATATATGCATGCCTTTATTTAGACATGTCCTTTCCCTCCTAGCTCTTTCCTCTATTTCCTTTTACTTTCTTCTTGTCCCATTATCATACTCAGCCATCATTTGGGTTTCAGTAACATCTCTCGGTTACATTACCCTTGATCACACCCTACCAGGCCTCCTATACCCTCCTCACCACTGATTTGGATCACTTGTTGTTCCCTTGTCCCTGGGTTTGTTAACACCACTTCCTCACCCGCCCCCCCTTCCCCGTCTCCCATGTCCCCTGGAACCATCGGTCCCATTGTTTTTTTTCCCTCCAGATTATTCATCCAGCCTATCTTATTTAGACAGATCTGCAGAGATAATAACATGCACAAAAACAAGACAGGGCAAAACAAAGCAACAAAAGAAAGCAAAACGATAACATGAAAAAGCCAATGACAAAAAAAAAAAAAAGATTGTAAGTTCAAGGACTGTTAGTTGGCCTTTAGGAGTGTTTTTTGGTTCAGTCTGATGCGGTGCCAAGACCTGGCCCCAAAGTCTACTTTTAGTATTCTCTGGGGACTTCACTGTTCTGTCCCCTTTGGTATTCTATTGCATGCCCTTGGTATTTTGTCTCAGTGTGGTTGGATCAGATAAGGCGCAATTCCCACACTGTGTCTCCAGTGTTGTTCCATGTAAGGCTTTGGGTCAGTGAGGGATGTCAAGTCTCATAGTGGGGCCGGCCATGTGGTCCTCTCTGTGCATTGGCTGCTCTGAGTGGGAATATCATCCTCCAGGCTTGGTGGGCCAGGATGTGCTCCACTCTCTCTTCCTCCACCTTCATTTGCTTCCATGTGCTCTGATCAAACATGTCCCTCTCTCTGGGCTGCAGATTCAGTGTGTCCTCTGAAATAAATTTTTCTGGGGGGAGAGGCAGGTGTCCACATAGTTGGGATTGGGGCCAGCCCCTCAGACCTGAGACGGTAAATCTTTAAGGGAGCAGAAAACCTCATCTTTCTCCCAAGCATCAGCTGGGGGGTTGCATCATGGCCCTTGAGCTTTGCAGCTAATCACCTATCTCACAGTGTCACCAGAGCTCCTTTATGAGCCCACATTTAATTTTTCAAGCAATCCAAAATTGTAAATTTTGCAAAATAATCTGTGTACTCCTCTAGCTGCTCAGCCCAAGGTTAACATACTTCAACTTGTCAATATACAGTCATTGTGGTCATGTAATCTTTAATCATCCTGATTATAGAATATCAAAAGACAGTACCAGAAATCCAGAACAAAAGAATTTTATGCAGCTTGAGGTAATTTTTTAATGTAAAATCTTCTGGAGAAAAAGACGAAAATAATTCCATAAAATAAAATGAATCAAGCACTCACGAGCCACTAAAAACAGCATCATAACAATTAATTTTCCTTCACTAGTGAATTTTAAAAGCCAATAAAATGTAAGAGATGAGGGAATATAATAAAACTGTTATGTTAAGCATCTTTTGAAACAAACTAAAATATCACCTATTCAACGATGTATTCTGCAATATGTCCAAGTAAGAATGTATGTATACCCTATTATAGCATTTGGTCTATATATATTATTTGACAAACATTTAATAAGTGCCCACAATATCTCAGATATTGTGCCTACTAGAAAAATCAAAATATAGGCAGGGGGAGTTTGATTCATAGTTTTTCCTCCTCGTCCTGGCAGCAAGACTGAAATGATTTCTAGGTGTTTCATAATTTGCCTCTCAACCTCAAGAAATGCATGCCAAGTCAGAACATTGTTCGCCACCATTTCCCTCAGGTCTCCCTTAACCGGTCCCAACAAAAAAGCACATCGCACTGAGATGCTGGTAAACAGCATGGTCAAGATCATTGTCAGCAGCAGCATGCCACATCGACCGATGTTGGGAACACAGGCTGGAAGCAATGAA